TGTGTAGTTTTTATTAAGTTCACTGTTTGTTACAATCAAAATGTCACGACTAAAGCTACAAAAGTATAAAGTATAGCCTACTCTTATATTTTCATATGATTTTGTGTTTAAATTATACTGAAGTAACTTGATTGTTATATTATCCAACTGTTCTAATAGCCAAAAAAGACAGGAATTGTAGATTGTTTCAGTTTTACTTTGTGCTTTAAAATACCAAACAATCCAAAACAGTAAAAAAAAAAAAATTAAATATGACTTATTTGAAATGAAAAAAAAACACATGAGCGACACGTGTGGAACATTTTCATGCAAAATATATAATACAAATATAATTATGAGTCCCCTTATGAAATGTTAGTGATGTTTAACAGTGGTTTGTAAAAAAAAAAAATATATATATATATATATATATAATATAATATATAATATATATATAATATATAAATAAATATAAGGGCTGTCAAAATTAGCTCGTTAACGCACGTGATTAATTTGAAATACTTAACACGTAAACAAAATAACGCAAATAACGCAGTTGCAGTTTTTTTAAATTTTCTGTTGTGGCCGACGTGTGTTCAGGCCCTGTGGGTGTTCAACGTGCAAAGAAATTTGGATAAGACCAAGGACGCACTTTTAGAAGGAAAGTTTCAGTTAAAACACTGAATGTGGCATCACCAGGCTATCCTGCATTTCCTCCAGAGTTTCATGCAATTTCGGTGTTTCATTATTAATCTTTGGACTTTACCTACAGTTCAGCAGTTCACTCTCATTCAGCAGATTTTCATTCAGGATTTTTTAATGGAATTTGTTACCTCATGGCAAATGGAAAGAAAACCCTCCGCATTTCGGGACTCTCATGATCCTTTAAGGCAATCAAAAATCTCTGCTTACATAGTAGATTCTTAATCAGAATTATTTTAATCATAAAGGTGGAGTTTTGGTGTCCATGTGAATGTTCTGTAGTTAAAGTGGCAGATGAAGTCGCAAGCTGTCAAAGACAGCCCTATTCTCTGCCTTTAAGCTCCTTCCATGAGCCCTCACATTTCATAAGTTTGACGTGTTCTTTCCTTTTGTGTGTTTGTAGTCCACTTAAAATCCAACATGGAAATCATTTTTGTTTGTTATTGGCTTTGATTGTTTTGAAATTCAAATGACGCTAACATGCTTGTTTTTATTTTTGTAATTAATATGGCGTTTTGTTCATTGTAATTACGTTCATTTTTTTTAATCATTCCACAGCCCTAATATACATATATATATATTTTTAAAAACTTAAAATTCCAGCCAAACTAAAATAAATACTCTCCCGAAGAAAGCAAAATACATAGCAAACGCTGTGAAATTTTAATTGCACTGTAAATAATTATGGATAATTTTGTCTTGGAGTTTCTAATTTAACATATGAGTTTAATGTGTAACGCTCATGTGTTTTCTGTTAAGTATAAATAAGAGTGAAAAAAGCACTTTTAACACATTTTTCAGTTTTCATATGAGTTCTGAAATACCCTTAGTGCTTTAATCAATCGTTAATAAAAATATCAGAAATATAAGCAGCAAATCAGTAGCAAAAAAAAAAACAAAACAAAAAACAACATCTGATTCACAGCCACATTAGGGAACATTCCACAAAGAAAAACTATGAACACAATAACAGTCAGGCAGCCCTTCTTGTTGCATTGCTTAAACAAAGGCACTGAATTAAGCACGAACCACACAACTTCCCTATGTTTACACTGCTTTACATCTCCGACGTCTCAAATCACATCGTTAGCATCATGTAGCTAAAGCCACGGTCACACTGGACTTTTCGCCCCATAGACTTTCATTTATATGCATGCGAATACAACAGACCTCAAACACAAGCTTGTGCTACAAGTTTCGCATGTATTCGAAAGTTCAAACTTGGTGAACTCTGACCTGTGAAATTGCATCACGTGAGACTAATCGAAGATCAAAACATGACCTCGCTGGACAAAAATATAAAATATGAACCAATCAGTTTTTTTAATGTCTAATCATCTTGTTTAATCCTGCCCCTTTTTACAGCATCATAAGAATTTCGCAAGCTCAAACTTTAGTGTGAACACGTCGTAACGCTGCGTCCTCATTTTAGCCATCAGTGTGTTAAACTAGTCAAATCTTTAATAGTTTTGCTTGAAAAAAATTCTGCTTCAATGTCGACGAAGGCTGAAAATAATTATTATGTGTCATATTTTCATTTAAAAGTGACAAGTGCTGATTGTTAAGTATAAGAGACGATTAAAATTAGGCAATGGACAAATATTTGGCGGCTTGGTTAAGCGATAATCACTAACTCGTCTATAATACTGATGTGTTTGTCTAATTGTCGCCTTATAAATGTTCTGCTTTTTGATTAGAGAGCAATAGACTGTTTATTTACTCCCTGTTTACAACGTTTCGTCCAATGTAACAGAACCAAAACATATCTGTCCATCCAATGATATCTCACGTTTTGATTTAGTGGCTAATCTCATTTGTACAAATTAGTAGAATCTGCTCATCCACCAATGATGGTTGGGTTTAGGGGTGGGGTTTGGTGCCACGCCTCCTTTTAAAATCATACATTTTCGTACAACTGAATTAGTACGAATAAGCCACTAAACTGACAAAATGTAAAATAGCTACATGTCCTGGCCGATTCATGTGTACACACACTAAGCAGCCTGGGATGCGTTTCCAAAAACCATCGTTAGCCAATTAGAACGCAAGTTTACAATTATAGTTTCATTGTCATCAAAAAAAATCTAAATCGAAAATTATAGTTTGGCGTTTCCCAAATCCGTAATCCCAACAAACATCCGTGAAGTGTATCGCAAACTTGTTTGGTTGTAATTACTCATCTAGTGCCATTGTTCCTGATTGTTCTAATCCGAATTCCTATTACCGATTCCTTTCCAACGTTCCTACATTCACTTTGAATGACAAAAAACTAAAGGATATATCTCTCTCATGTGTAGCCTAATTTGCTTTCAAAGTTATTATTTTACATTTCAGTTTTAGCGAATTTGAGATAAACTCTTTGAGTGCACTTTAGAATCATTTATGCCATTCTGAATGCAGCCATGGCTCTTGATTTACAACTGAAAATCTGTAACATCTCCAAAGCTTCTGAAAATCCCAAAATACAGGATTTCTGACCCTAAATCTAATTACGGCAACAAATGAATAGGCTAAATGTAGTATTTACATCATTATTTGACCGTATATCCCGACGCTCTCTCTCTCGACAATGAGTAACTTTTTGATTTAGTGGCTAAATTGTTTTAAATCATACAATCTCATTTGTACAATTCATTTAGATTTGACTAAACCACAATGACGGTTGGGTTTAGGGGCGGGGTTTGGTGCCACGCCTCCTTTAAAAAAAAAAAATCTTACATTTCTGTAGGATTGAATTTGTACAAATTAGCCACTAAACTGACAAAACGTAAAATAATTACGTTTTCTTGTGAGATCAGGCGGACTTGGAATGACAAAAAACAAAACAAAACGTAAAGTTATCTCTCTCACTTGTAATTTGCTTTCAAAGTTGCTGTTTTACATTTCAGTTTTTGTGAACTTGAGATTGACAATTTCGCCTCCTTTTGTAGTGCACTTTGAAATCATTTATGCTACTTTAAACGCAGCCATGGCTTTTGATTTACAACCGAATTTCTGTTACATCCCAAAAACTTCTGAAAATCTAATAATATAGGATTTTTGACCCTAAATGTAATTACAGCAACAAATGAATAGGTTGAACGTAGAATTTATCGTTATTTGTAGAATCGTTATTTGACTATATATATTCTAACGCTATCTCAAAGCAATTCGTAACTTTTTGAATTAGTGGCTAATTCGTATGAATTAGTATGATTTCATTCATACAATTCAGCACAATTTTCTCATCCCCCAATAAAGGTTGGGCTAAAGGGCGGGGTTTGGTTGCACACTTCCTTTTAAAAAAAAAAAATCAGAATTTTTTTGTATGACTGACCTCTTACGAATCCATATGAATTAGCTACTAAACTGACAAAACGAAAAATAGTTATGTTTCCTCATGAGATCAGGCTGACTTTAAATGAAAAAAAAGCTTTCAATTATCTCTGTCAAGTGTAATTTGCTTTCAAACTTTTTGCTTTGCATTTCAGTTTTAACGAACTTGAGATTGACAACTGCCCTCCCTTCGTAGTGCACTACGAAATCATTTATGCCATTCTGAACTCAGCCATGGCTCATGATTTACAATGGAAAATCTGTTACATTCCCAAAGCTTTTGGAATTTTTTTTTAATATAATTATATATATATAGGATTTCTGAACCTAAATGTAATTACGGCAACAAATGAATAAACTAAACGTAGTATTTAGTATTATTTCTATCCCAACGCTATCTCACGGCAATATGTAACCTTTTGATTTAGAGGATCTCATTAGTACAATTCAGTACGATTTGCTCATCCTCCAATCACAGTTGGGTTTAGGGGCGGGGTTGGTAGCCACACCTCCTTTTTAAAATCATACATTTTCGTAGGACTAGTATGAACTCTCTTATTAACTCATACAAATCTCGTATGAACTTGAACGAATTTGTAAAAATTAGCAACTAAAATGACAAAACGTAAAATAGTTATGTTTCCTCGTAAGATCAGGCTGGTATATCGGATTTATAGGCTATATGAGATTAGCCTACATGTTAATATTGTCCATAATGTTAGTAAAATAAATATAAGTCGTATATGTGTCGTTTACATTAATATGAAAAACAAATGTATGTTCTAACCAAAACTAATCAGTGCTGGGCGAAGGCAAATAATGATTAATCGCGTCCAAAATAAAAGTTTGTTTTGACGTAATATATGTATATGTGATACATGCTATTTAAAACTATTTTGTTACGAACATATCTAAATGTGTATATTTAATTTGTATCATACACGTATTTATTTTCTATTTACACAGTACACACAGATATATCAAAACAATTTTTATTTTGGACGCGATTAATCATGATTAATCTTTGCCCAGCACTAAAACTAAAATTGGATTTAATAAAAGATGTTAAAAAAAGTTGTTATTCTGCCCCATTTAGAGCATCATAACGGACCTTTTACGTTATAACTAACAGGGTTCAAATGACGGACAGTGCGACACTGCACCTACGGTTTTGGGAAACACTCGTCACTACATCGTTCATTTCCCAAACGATGCATCATACTATAGTAGTTCAGCTGTGAGTTACGTCACTGTTTAGGAAACGCATCCCTGGACAGTTCATCTTTAATCCATCCGGTCCATCCCAGAACAATACAGTCTCCCAAAAACCCCTTCGAGCTTTACATTCTGATGCTGCAGAGGCTCTTTTTGGGTTTTTTGGTCCTCATCTCTGGCCTCTCTGAACCTGCCGGGGATGAAGATATGGTTGGTGTGAGACTGGAAACCGAAAAGCGCAGTCGTGTTGATGTTGTTTAGGAGCTGCAGCAGGTCTCTATGTTACTGGCTGTGCACAAACACACACGTATACATCCAGTCTGTTTACACCTCCTTTTCTCCAGAACTTGTAAATGACGTTCGTCTCAGGTTCTCCTTCACTTTAACAAACTCCGGCGCATTGCAGTTGTCTTCCTCAAGCTTTTCTTGCTCCTTCTCCAACTACAAATACACAGAAAGACAGAGGCGTACTCAGTGGTGTAAAGTAACGAATTACAAATACTCAAATTACTGTGAGTAGCCTAGGAATGTGTACTTTTGCTTTTACCCGAGTACATTTTCAGTGCTGTATTGGTACTTTTGCTGCACTATTTTCCTTTAAACTGCAGTTGCTACTTGTTATATGTTTTTTTTTATTGTCTTTAGTGATTGCCTGAGTGGAATAATCAGTTCTGTCAGTGATTCTGAAAATCACATCAGACTGACGAACCTCAACATAGTTTCTGCAGGTCTCACCAAGTTAAATTTAGGACATTTTAAGACATTTTTAAGACTATTATGAATGAAATTTTAGACTCATATTGGGCTAAACACTAAGGAATTTTTCAAATGGCCCAGATGGAAAAGAGTTTTATTTGCCCTATCAAAAAATCTATATTATAATTTAATATATCTAATAATACAATTATATATGAATAATAAAAAATATATATATTTTAGATATTTCTCAGCAATATATTTTAAATATTGTATAAATAAATACAAGCTCTACTTTTACTCACTAAGCAGGCACACAACATTTTAAGCCATCAATATTAGATTAGATTTAGGTCATGACATCAGGTGACCAAAATTCAATGTCTAGTTAGCGTGTAAGGACAACAATGTCAAATTACGTTGATATTTGGTTGATTTTTATGTTAAAAAGTGACCAAAATCCATCGTCTGATAGATGTCATAGTTGTAATGTCCACACAACTTCAGGTTGTAACATGATTAGACGTTAATATTTGGTGGATTTTAGGTTGGATGTAGGACACTGACGTCGGCCCAATTTTATTTCCAAACAAAATCCATAACCCTTACGACGTTGGGGTATGTTGGGGTACAACGTCAATATGACGTCATGTTGATGTGCTATGCGTGCAGGGCATCTTTAAAATAATAAAAAAATGAACTGTTTCAAAAGTTTTAAAAACTTTAATAAACTAAATCTATGCACAACAATCTGTCCAGGTCGGTGTCCTCAGCAGTAAATACACGGGCCACTTTTAAACAATTGTCATTGTGAGGAAAATAATTAAACCATTATGGTAAATAGAGTTAAAAATAACCTTTTTAAAAATAAAGTTTTAATAAGATGGATTGTTGGTGATGGGTTTTGGCCAGATTGTGTAGCAATACATGAGCAACAGAAAATTAAGACCTGTTTAAAACCAATTTAAGACCTCCAACACAATATTTCATTTCAAGACATTAAGACTTTTTAAGAACCTGTTAAAACCATGGTCGAGACACTGGTAATACTCCACAAATAATGTTTAATAACTCTTTAAAACTGACGCTTTTAGGCTTTGATAAAAATTGTTCCATTTTGGTGACTGTCGCTTTACATTTAAATGAGATTGTGCTCTTTTCGAAAGAGGGCGGGGCTACAGATGGCTATGTGTCAGCATAGTGGCAGATTCAAAAACAAGACTATTGCCCTATTCTGATGAGGGATTATCCAGTGGGTGGAGCTTTCCCACTCTGATGACACGTACAAAGGGAGAATGCCAATTAAAGTGTTTCTGCAGTTTTTTATCAAGTGTGATTATAAAAAAAGAAGAATTATTAATTTTTACAATTAGAAGCTGGTTATATTCACAGAGTGCTGACACACAACTGTGTTTAAAGATTTTTTAAAAGTAATTTATGCATAACAGGTCACCTTTAAACGATTGCTAAATGCACTACAGAATGTTACGTTTTCAAACACATGCAGAAACTGAGTTTATTCTATCAGGGCTCCATGAGCTTGGTTTGAGGTGCCACCTGCTGGACACTTGTCATAGTTTAAAGTGCATAGGCATTAACATATCGACACAGATTTATTTTTGTCCCCTATGGTTGCACAGATTTCACTCCACATGTAAACTTTCCATTGGCCTTATTCAGCAATGCAGATGTGCGCTGGTTTCTGCGATTGTTTTAGCTTCCAATGGCTGCGGCTGATCATACCTGAAGTATAAGGTCAATAGGTGCATATATTATTAATGCAACGTGTTCTCACGTTTTAAATTTATATATGAAGATAATTGGATTAAATAGAGTGCTAGGAATAAGCGTTTTACTAAGATTTTTCTTTTAATTTAGTATATTATTATTACAATTTTTTTTATTAAAGCCTAGTAAAGCTTTTTTATTTCATCCAATCTTACTAAATATAATTAATAGCATGAATAGCAAACACTTACATTTAGAAACTTAACCTTAAAAGAAAATGACATTGGTTTAAGATACATTTTTAGTTAGCTTTGTATAAGGTGGAATAATACTCACTTCTCACTACTCACTATTCTTAAGTAATTAAATGGAAGGGCTACATTTTACTCATACTTTGAGTAGTATTTTTACTTTTAGTGTACTTGTACTACATTTTCTTTGGCAAGTACTGGTTCTTCTGATAGAGTATGCTTTTTCAGAAGTCTTTCCATCGCTGGACATACTTTTAGGAGCATTTACAGGATAATATATACAGTTGAAGTCAGAATTATTAGCCGTCCTGAATTATTAGCCCCCTGGTATATTTTTCCCCAATTTCTGTTTAACAGAAAGAAGGTTTTATCAACACATTTCTAAACATAATGGTTTTAATAACTCATTTCTAATAACAGATATCTTTTATCATTGTATAACAATGGTTTGTTCTGTAGACAATCGAAAAAAACATTGCTTAAGGTGGCTAATAATATTGACCTTAAAATGTTTTTTTTTTTATTATTAAAACTGCTCAGCCTAATTAAAATAAATAAAACTTTTTCCAGAAGTAAAAACCATTATAGGAAACCCCTGCTCTTTAAACATCATGTGGGAAATATTTAAAAATGAAAAAAGAATTCACAGGAGGGCTAATCATTTTGACTTCATCTGTACATAAAATGCAGGTTTGGTTTTGATCTGGTCTGTATGTCATGGTTGTTTGGGTTTCACCTCCTCTAGTTTCTGCTGTCTTTTGAGAAGCTCCTGTTCCAGTGGAGAGATCTTCCTCCTGGCCTCCTCCTCTAGCTTTCTCTGCTTTATCATCTGCTCTCGCTTCCTTTGCTCCAGCACACGCTGCAGTTCAGATTTATTCTCCACACCAGCACCTCTGTTGGGAAAGAAACAGCAACAATCGAAATTCACTTAATCCTAGTGTGCTGTTGGAGATGTTTTCATGCACTCTGGGATGATTTTGAGTCTAAATTTGGCCACAACTTTCTCTGTGTTTGAGCAAATGGAACGCTTTTTGCTTACAAATTTTATTTTGATACATATTTTGAGAAAACACGTTGAAAGTTCATGGCTGTTTTTGCCTTATTGACTTCCAATGATATTTTTTATTGCAAAGCCATGGCGGCATCATGCATTCTTGATTGTAGGTGGTTTTCCATGTTGGAAAGAGGTAAAATGTGTAATTTATACTGTTGATCATCAGGTGCAGGGTTGTGGCCCTAAGGCTCTGGAACGGTCTCCGTTTAAACATCAGGATCTCTCAATCCTTGGATGCTTTTTAATCTACTTATTATACTTGACTTATTTTTACTCCCTTGCCTTTGAGCGACGCATGCTTGTTATTTCTTATCTGTATTTTAGTATTACATATATATATTTCCTTTTCTTGCATTTTTAATACAAGTTTTATTTATTTTCTTAAATATTTTATTTCATTGTAAAGCACTTTGGATTAACTACGGTTGTGTAAAATTGTGCTCTATAAAATAAAGTTTGCCTTGCCTTACAGCAAGCTCTTAGAACAATGACCATAGTAAGTGTATTTATGCACGCACACACACACACACACACACACACGCACACACACACACACACACACACACACACACACACACACACACACACACACACACACACACACACACACACACACACACACACACTAAAACCTGCTGTTTAACTTCATAGAACTCCATATAAAAGCCAGAAACCTTTTTTTCTTCACAGACCTATCTAAAGAATTAATGCTGCCAAATGATGATCAACGGTAAAAATGACACATTGTACCTCTTCCCAACAGGGAAAACCAGCAACAATCAGGAATGCATGATTATATGCTGTCATAGATTTTCAATCATAAAAAGTCATTATAATGATAGTCACTGGGGCAAAAACAGCCCCAAACATAACAAAAGGGTAGTCAATTTAAAAAGTGCAAAAGGGGTAAAAAAACAACCAAATATGTTACTTACTGTAGTTACTTTTTATAGAAACTAACGTGAAAGCATGTTATGTAATTTTTAAAAGAGAAATATAGACTTTAAATAAATAAATAAATAAATAACCAAACAAAAAAAATAAATCAATAAATACTTTTTACCCCATACTAATAATTATCATGGATAGATGGATGGGTGGGTGGAAAGGGTAGATGGATGGATGGATGGGCGGGTGGGCGGATGGATGGATGGGCTGATGGGCGGATGGATGGATGGATAGATAGATACTTTAGATCAGGGGTCACCAATCTCGGTCCTGGAGGGCCGATGTCCCTACAGGGTTTAGCCTCAACACACCTGCCTCAACTTACCTCAACACACCTGCCTGGATGTTTCAAGTATACCTAGTAAGACCTTGATTAGCTTGTTCAGGTGTGTTTGATTAGGGTTGGAGCTAAAATCTGCAGGACACCGGCCCTCCAGGAACAAGTTTGGTGACCACTGCTTTAGATGGATGGATGGATGGATGGATGGATGGATGGATGATAAAGAGATGGATGGATGGATAGAGATGGATGGATAGATAGATATTTGAGATAGACAGGCGGGTGGTCGGGCGGACGGACGGATGGACGGACGGACAGAGATAGAAAGATAGATAGATAGATAGATAGATAGATAGATAGATAGATAGATAGATAGATAGATAGATAGATAGATAGATAGATAGATAGATAGATAGATAGATAGATAGATAGATAGATAGATAGATAGATAGATAGATAGATAGATAGATAGATAGATAGATAGATAGGTAGGGAGGGGGGGTCTCCTGGTGATTTCCAAAAATCTATTTTACTTTTATTAAACCATGAGAATTACCATATTTTATCCATAGCCAACTGAAGAGTAAAATAGTCGTTTATAGTTACTATTTACTATATAATTACTATAGTAGCTCATACTGTAGTTACTAGTTCTATTGGATTGCAACCCCTGGGGTAATTACATTATATTAAAGACACAGTAATAGCGTGAGATGCAGCATATTGATTTTAAAACACCAGGTTAAACTTTCTGGCCCATTTACAGCACTTACATACATTTATAAAATTAAATGAAGAATAGACTTGGGTCTATCAGTGTGTGTGCCATTGCATGCAAGATTTCTGTATTTATAACCTCCTCAGAGGATATTGGGGGGTCGCGAGTCACTGGCATTGTCATTTTGGGGAGGGGGGGAGTTTGGGCTTCTCAGCCTGCTTTAGATGGATAGATGGATGGACGGACAGATAGATATAAATAGAAAATGAAATAATTAAATATATATATATATATATATATATATATATATATATATATATATATATATATATATATATATATATATATATATATATTTATATGTGTGTGTGTGTGTGTGTGTGTGTGTGTGTGTGTGTGTGTGTATTAAAATAAAAATTAAGATACAAGTACAACAAACTTAAAAAAGAGTGTAAAAATCAAGTAAACAGAAAACAAAAGAACAAAAAAAACTATTAAATTTAAATGAATAGTACAGAAACAAATAGAAATCTCACTGGTGCAGTTAGTCAGTCATCCAGCAGGTGGCAGTGTAACATATTAAACTAGATTTGTGTGCTTTATAAAACTTTTTGCCACACATAAAATGAAACATGTTAATGCATAAAAATAAATTATTATTCATATCTGCAAATCAGCTATAATATAGCCAGCGAAAATATGCAGATCTGTTTGACTGTATGTCTAATTTCCATTAGTACCCCAGTGCTCTTACTGTTGCCAGTGTTCATGGTGCCAAGCTTCTGCTAACATGAGTGATAATTATTAACTTCTGTGCCAGGATAGACATATGTGCGCAGAGAAACACCCCAAGACAGACTGATAATTAAATGATGTGTCAGCTTGTTCTCTCCGCAGGGGAGAAGGTGCCGAGAGAGCTGGGAGAAAGAAAAACATGTGGGAGTCTCAATTAGCGTCCCTGCTAATTTAGATGGTGTCCTTCAAACTGAAGACACAGCCAGTTAACAATAAATAAACACAAGGGGCATTTAATGAAGATAACAAGGTAGACATTAACTCCTAAGAGCCCTCATGATGATAACATGAGGGTCTTTAGTCTTGTCTAAGCTCTCTGCTATGAATAGTCACTAGCTGAACCACGCTAAAATCGTTAGCATCGACCTGTTCCTGAAATGATCCATAGATGGTGTCTTCTTTCTTATCATGGCTGAGAGTGACATCCGAGCCAGATTTGTCTCACTCTATTTAGTGTCTCCTTTTGGGTTCTCTTCTCCCGACTGATGATTTTTATCGCAAAAACTGTCTAAAAATATCTTATTTCAAGCCCCAAAATTGTATTGATCTTCACTGTGAAAATGCAGGGTTCCACACAATCCCTACATGTTGTCCCAACACAAATCAATGAAGTTGACTTAATTGTTTTTACAAATGTAAGTGGATTGAATATAAACTGTCAAGTTGTACCCACAAAAAAAAACTTAAAAATTGTGTTAACAAATTTTAAATAAGTAGTTTAAAGCGGAATGAACTGCTACCTTTTCAAGCACGTTTTACACAGTGCCCTTACAGCTGCAACCCAACACTAGGAAACACCAAGCGGCAACCTCCTGCTCTTCTTTGGGAAGCCAATATGGAAGTAACTGAAACTGCAATTCATCAAAATTCCGCTAGTCCTGGCTCCACATAGAGCAAATTTCAATTGAGCCCACTGTTAAAATGGCCAACTTTACAGCAGAAATAAAGGTGTTTACAGCCTGGTACAAAGAGCGATTTTGGTTTCTACACTCAAAAAAATCAACTAGGCATGTATTGGATTTACAAAATAAAAATTTGTCAGATTGAAAAGAACAAATCAAGTTTACGTATGTTAAATGATTAATTCATGTTCTTTGAAACTGAATCAAGAAATAATCAAATGAATTTGATCAGAACATGTTGATTCAATGAGACTGAGACGCTTCAAATCGACAACTCTCACTCTGGAGAGTCACTTCGCACATATCAGTAGGTGGCGGTAGTGCGTTTGGATGTCACCATACGAAAACAACAAGAAGAAGTATCACCGCGTGTTTTCGGCACAGTTTGGGAATTGGTTTTCCCAAGAGCTTAAATGTTATGCATGTTATGTTGTTGGCTAAATGTTTCTTATACATTTTATATTACATATTACAATTTTGGATATTATATAACAATTTTCATCAGAATATTAAAGAAGAAATTTGTTTAAATGTGATTGGTGCCTGCTAAAGGCTATAATAAAAGAAATACATATATATATATATATATATATATATATAACATGTTTTCTGTCCTTTTTGTGTTGAATTACTAAATTTTAAATCTTGCTTCATAGTATTGAAATTTTAAAAAATGTAATTTAAACAACAGGGTGAGGCAGTGGCGCAGTGGGTAGCACGTTCGCCTCTCAGCAAGAAGGTCGCTGGGTCGCTGGTTCGAACCTTGGCTCAGTTGGCGTTTCTGTGTGGAGTTTGTATGTTCTCCATGCCTTTGCGTGGATTTCCTCCGGGTGCTCCGGTTTCCCCCAAAGACATGTGGTACAGGTGAATTGGGTATGCTAAATTGTCCGTAGTGTATGTGTGTGTGTGTGAATGTTTCCCAGATGGGTTGTGGCTGGAAGGGCATCCGCTGCGTAAAAAAACTTGCTGGATAAGTTGGCGGTTCATTCCGCTGTGGCGACCCCGGATTAATAAAGGGACTAAGCTGAAAAGAAAATGAATAAATGAATTTAAACAACAATATTGAACAAGAAATTTACTAGCTGATTTAACAAGACATAATTTTGTTAAAGTAAAGCTTTAGTATTACATTGAGTAAAATAGAATCATTTTAATAAGAATAACACAATACAAACATTTTGAGTCAATTAGTTGCA